ATAGAATTTTCTAGATCAATATTCGATATGAATTTATTTAAAAAGTCTAATCCTAGTATTCCATTTGATTTACAGGGAAGCTTATCAAACAAATAAAATTTGTGTTCATAAAGGGATCCATCTTAGGGTTAAATAAGATAGATATCCTTGAGAACGGATTTCACCACCTATCTATACCATTAATGATAATATTGTCTTGATAAGTATTTATTCCACTTGGTAAAAATGTTTTTGAAATAGCGGATAGAGACGCACCTGTGTCGATTAAAAATCGAACATTTCCTATTTTCGATATTAAAAAAATAAATATTTTACATTTTGATTATAAGTCATAACAGAATATTTATGGACGAAAATACTTATTCTAATCGGTATTATAATTCTTTATATCATCGTTAGAGGTAGATTGTTCCGTATGTTGATACGTAAACATGCCTTGAAACTCACGCGAGCGCGATGGCCCGCCTCTAAGATTGTTGTTAAAGGGTTTATTCGACTTACCGTAGTTGTTACCATAGTAACCCCTATTATAATTGGAATATTCACGTCTAGGAAAACATGTATATCTACCACGGCCTCTGTAAAATGGTTTAGAGTACTTACCCCTAATGTTAAGCACGGTATTGGAACTACATGGTTGTGCGAGTTCCTCGTCTTGTGCAGCTCTCACCGCGTCTTTTAACTCCGAATAGTCTTAAGCGCCTATTTCGTAAGCCATCTGCGAATTTTTTAATGGCCAACTTTTCGTTAATGGATCTTAGAATTTCATAGGCTGCGCTGTTAGAATCAGCCTGTGAAATTGTTAGATCTACAAATAACTCCTCTATTTTCGACGCATGTTGTGAAATAGTCATATCCTTTTGAGATATGTTGTTTAATTGTGTCAATAATGAACATGCTGACTTTTTTGTTAGTAAGAAAGTTCGCACATCTTTGACCAAACTCTCACAAGTGTCATATTTAATTTTAATTTTTAACTTAGCGGACTTAGACAACCTCGTTTTCAAAACAAATGAAATTAATAGTTGCTTACAAGATTTTCCCTGAAGGCAACTATCATACATTTCTATATTTTAACAGTGGTAGAGCCACGCGGCAGCTTTTGCTGTGGCACGGATGGGCCGGCTCGAACCGGGGTGGTACCACGACCTCACAGAAAACCAGCGTGAAGTAGAGGTTTACCTCTGCGTTTCGCTTGGTGAGTGCAGGTGGCCGGAGGCCCTTTTTACTGGAAATGAGGCATTCCATCTTAGTCCTCACGGGTGACAACGCATCTACATTTTGATTTGTAATAGAGCCGCAGCAACCACTTACCATCAGGTGGACTGTGAGCTCGTTTGTTACCCTCATCCTATAAAAAAAAAATATGTTCAATAATTTGTTCTGTCGTTGATTCCCTATCATCCATAATAGGTATTAAGCTAGCCGCCATTTTTAAATTGAACTTGTCCATGGTTAACAATAAAATCGTACTATTGTAACACAAAATCTTGTTATAAATTTCCTCAATTTTAACTAAAACATTAAAGTCATAACACTCTTCAGAATTGACATTATCCAAAACAATTTTATAGTTATGATATATTTTTTTTTTATAGGAGAGGGGGCAAACGAGCATGCAGCTCACCTGATGGTAAGTGACTACCGCCGCCCATGAACAACCGCAACACCAGGGGAATTGCAGATGCGTTGCCGGCCTTTTAAAAAGGAGTAGGCTCTTTTCTTGAAGGTCCCTAAGTCGTATCAGTCCGGAAAAATCGCTGATGGTAATCGATTCCACAAGGAAGTCGTGCGAGGAAGAAAACATCTTCTAAATTATTTTGCCGTATTTATTTTACTTACAACATAATCTATATATCTATACTTTATCTGGCCTAATTTCCTTAAAGTTTTCTGTATGTCTTGTAACTGCTTATATATTAATTCTAAATTGTCCATTAGTACTCATTATTTAAAACAAAAAAAAAAAATATTAAACTGGCACACATAATCCACATTAAAACTTAGCAATAAATTGTACCTTTATGTTGCACCATAACCTTTAGTAGTAGACCGTGTCATCACACTAGAACTGTAGCTGGATCTCGGAACTCACACGATTGATTCGTCCTTGCCGTCCTGGTCCCTGGCTGGATGTCCTGAACGCCCCGATAATCTCAAACGCATCCTCCGGTATACGTCAGCACGTATCTCTCTTTGAATTAAGTTTTTATGGCATCTTCTGTATTACCGATAAGCTAGGCAGCCAAACGCCGCAACTAGTATTGCCAGCACCGTCGAGAGAAATATGTTGTTAATCCAGGTGTGCTGGGCAGCTTCTGCACTATTGGTTCCCACGACACTTTGCGCGATAACAATGTCCTTGGGCTCGGATTTTGATTGAGATTTGCCAATTTTCGTAAACTTTATTTGCACTGTTATTCTCTAAGACAAAATATAAAAAAATTCTGTCGTACTTATTCGCTCCGCCGTTGGTAAAAAGACGCCGTTCCAGTGACGCCATGGCTGAAGTCCAGTTTGTAAAAAGTGCAAGTGCTCAGAAGATTTCAGGTTCGAATCCTGGCAGGGTCGCCATGAGGTGAGGTGCGGGGATAATCAATGATCGAACGAATGAACGACAGCTTTGAGTGACGGCCTGTTTATTACTGAACACAACTTACAATCGATATTGATTTATATTAACCGTCTTACTCCACTACAGCCACTCGAGAACCTTTCTTCCCCATCGGTTGTCGGTTCTTCGAGCTATATGACCGGCCCACTGCCACTGCAGCTTACTAATCCGATGGGCTATGTCGGTTACTCTGGTTCTACTGCGGATATCCTCATTTCTAAGTTTATCACGCAGAGACAGCCCGAGCATAGCCCTCTCCATAGCTCGCTGAGCGAACTTGAGCTTCCTCATACGGCCAGCAGTGAAGGACCACGTCTCAGATCCGTAAGTCATCACTGGCAACACGCACTGGTTGTACAATTTCGTTTTCAGTTTTTGAGGTATGTTTTTGAGTGTATAGTTTCCCGAACGCTGCCCAGCCGAGTTGAATCCGTCGATTGACCTCTCGATCGAAGTTGGACTTACCTAGTCGGACTATTTGTCCCAGGTAAACATACTCGTCAACAACTTCGAGCTTAGTGCTCCCAACAACTACCGGCATAGCTGTGACATGGACGTTAAACACGATTTTTGTTTTGTCCATGTTCATCTTAAGACTTATTCGTTGGGAGACACTATTGAGGTCATTGAGCATAGTGGTTAGGTCCTCCAACGATTCTGCCATAAGGACTATATCGTCGGCAAATCGAAGGTGAGTGAGTGATTGATGTGATGTACATTATTATTATTTCAATTAAAAAGGATGAAGTTTAGGAACTCTATCCGCGGCTGGTCGTTGCTGCTGGTGATAAGAAGGCTGGTTCTTTTCTCGCTCAAAGGCTAAGTATAGCCATTCAGCTGGGAAACGCAGCCAGCGTTCTTGGCACGATACCGCGGCGAGTAGGACTGTATGATAATTAAGTTACTAGTTTTGTTTTTTTTTTTATTATAGTTTTTACGATTGTATTAAAATATTGTATATTAAAATTAAAAAAAAAACTCATTTTGTTTAATTTATTAAACGTTTAACTACCTTTTCTGCCGACTTCCAAAAAGGAGACGGTACTCAATTCGACTGTATGTTTTTTTATGTGTGTTACCACATAACTTTTTACTGGGTGAACCGATTTCGATGATTGTTCTTTTATTTGAAAGCTGATACTTCACGTGTGGTCCCATATGAATTTGATCAAAGTCAGACCAATAGTTATTGAGTTATTCTTAATAACTTATATTGAAGTCGGCTGTACAAATTTTTTTAATTTTAAATTAGTTATATAGATGATACCATTATCATCTATAAAAAAGGTACTATATCAAGTCAGTGGCGATAGACTTTAAATGAGATAGATTACCAATCCTTGGAAAAGAACACCGACTACTAGCAGGGATGTTTCTCGAAACGTCGAGATTTCAACGTAAATTACAAATTAAATTCGATGAAATCTGTAAAATTATTTATACACAATGATAAGAAATGGATTTCGCTGCGATGGGTTGTATGATAAATAATTAAGAATATTGCGAGGCTGATTAATTATCTGTTTTTAATAAGAAAGTACACTAAAATTTTCTTAGTATTTAACGTGGTAATGTCAAACCTGAATGGATGGATGAAGCTATATTACGTTTGCAGCACGAATGTGTCGGCTCGACCGGGGAAGGATCAGGTCGGTGACGCGCAGAACCACGTATACTCGGCTCCAGTCATCATCAACCACCTTTACTGCCTGACAAAGAGTACATCGTTAAAATTTGAGGGTAGTTTAATATGATGATGAATGATATAATGGTTGATTCTCTTATGAGGTCACAGCAGTTCGGAGAGAAAAGTTGGTGATGGCACAGTACAGTACCCAGTGCCTCGGATAGCACGTAAAGCCGTTGGTTCTGCAGCTGATCTCTCTCCGGTCATGTTGGATTACTGTCCATCGGACTATGAGAGTGAAGGATTAGAGAGTGCACCTGTGTTTGCGCATACACTCGTGTAATATAACGTTGTCCCATGCAGATGGCTAGTCTACGTAGAAGATGGCCGCTGTGACCGAAATTCGGTATGGAGGTCATTATATCACAAAATTTTTGTAGGCTATATTAGTCGTATAGTTGTAGCACGAGTGGGTCGGCTCGACCGGGGAAGGACCACGCTCTCACAGAATACCAGCGTAAAAAAGCAGCTTAACACAGCTGTGTTTCGTATGGTGAGTGTAGAGAATCTGCAGTTTGATTCTTTATTGAGGATAGATGTAGATGTCTATGGGCCACAGCAACCACTTACCATCAGGTGCATTGTGTGCTCGCTTGTTACACTATTCTATATAAAACACACACAATGTTTAAAAATATTAGAATGAAAACTATATAATTTCAAAGATAACCTAAAACTCTCACGTATTATTTATTACAGGCGCAATATTCACTGAAGAGGCTCGGGGAGGCAGTGCGGAGCTCGCTTTTAAGTACGCGGTCTACAGGATTAATAAGGAAAGAAGTCTGCTACCTGCAAGTACACTCGTCTACGACATACAGTACACTACATCCAGGGACACTTTCATGACTTATAAGAAAGGTAAGTACTGTTATTACAAAAAATCCGGGCTACGCGGGAAGGCTCACGCTCTGAGGTTTCCGAATAAATTTAATTATAATCATCCAACGATCATCCGTATGTTCCCGCCGTTTTTAAACCGACTTTAAGAAGGGCGAGGTACTCAATTCAACTGTATTTTATATTTTATATGTTGTCTAGTTGAATAGATTTTGATGAATCTTTATTTTGTTTTAAAGACGGCGCTTCTCCTGTGGTTTCATATAAATTTGATTAAGGTCTAACCAGCAGTTTTGAGTTACCCTTAATAATTTATATTGTAGTCGGTTGTACAAATTTTTTTATTTTACTGCTTGTTTTTTTTTTATAGGATAAGGGTGACAAACGAGCACACAGTCCACATGATGGTAAGTGGATGCTGTGGCCAGTAGACATCTACATCATCATCAATTACGATTCCAAATACAGATGTTACTCGTATTACCTCTGAGAACTAGAACTGAATGTCTCGTTTCCAGTGAAAAGGGTCTCCGGTTCTCTACACTCACCATACGAAACACAGCAGTGTTAAGCTGTTATTTTACGCTGGTGTTCCGTGAGAGCGTGGTCCTTCCCCGGTCGAGCCGACCCATTCGTGCTACAACTATACTACTACTACTATTCGAGTTAGAACTATAATTTAGCTTCAGTATTGCTTTACCGCGTATGTCTGGTGTTGTAACTGGCGACAAAGGGAAACAAATCAGGACACTTACACCAGCGTCTTCCTAATAACGACTTAAACATAAAAAACTACAGTTGCCAACGCGTTTGCCAAGCATGGCAACTGTATCATATATCCACGATGTAATATATTCAGTACATTCCTTTAAATCGGGGTAAACTATTAATTTTGAATTATTTGATAATTTAATTAATTGAACTTAGTTGGGAAAAAAATTAAATTTACTTCTGCACTGGAGTATTTTGCTGTTTTTAAGCGACAGTTTTCAGAAGCATTATTCACGATTACATAATAAAAAGAAAATCAAATAAAAAAGTTAAAACTCATTGATTACTCCTGTTGCTACTAATTCCATCACATGTATATGTATGTATGTTGTATGTTTTCCCGATTTTTTTTTAAAATGCCTGTAATTTTTAAAATACGTAGCAAAGATTTTTTTTAATAATTTTGTTTTAATTATTATGAATTGACCCGTCGCCCTATTTCGGCTTGACATCGACTTTTGGGACATTCTGTATGTGGCATTCTACGGAGGAGGCTTTCAGCGGTGGACTTTTGATAGGCCGTAACGATAACGATATTTATAAAGATTTATAGATGACATTTATCTTGATAATTGAGTCCCGACGTTTTTTATTATAATAATAACAATTTATTAATTTCAGATATTTAGCATCCATTGTTACAAACAGAAACAGAAACAGACAGACACTTTTTTTATTCAATATAGATTATAAATAATACTTGTTGAAAGTCACTCTTTTGTTTAGTTACCACTGGTTCGAAAAAAAACCTCGGGTTTAGAATCAAGTCACCTGAATTTGGGGGTGGGGGTGGTGGGGGAGGGTTGTTGTAGAGTCATCCCCCACTTCCATTTCCTGCCGGACGTGCTTAGTTTATTTTTATAATTTTTTTAAAATTAAGGTTATGTTTTCGTAATGTTATTGACAATATAAACCTGATTTGTGGGGGCAGAGTTGCGGGAGGGTAGGCCAACGCCACTCAACGTGGCGCATTTGAGGGAAGCTCGGTCGACGGAGCCCCGCTTTTCGCTATTTCTGGAAGGTTTATAAAAAAATAACCACGAAGGGGATGGAGGGGTCTGTTCGCTCGCTTCGCTCGCTCACTCGACCCAGCCATCCTCTTCTAACCTAACCTGTCCGAGTCGGCGTGCCCCAAGTCCCGAACTTGCTTCGCTCGCTCTTGCACCAAATAAAACACCAAAATGTTAACTTTTATAATTACTTTAATAATTAAACATATTTTTAAAACTTCCACCGTTTCCAAAAACATCGTAAAATAGCAAGCAATCGGTCTCCAGAGGGGTAGCGAAGTCGTCCAAAAACAGTAAACTCGGAAGCAAGGGAATGACGCTTATGACGCGAGTCTCGAAGTCGTGTATAAACGTAGTGATTATATTCTCTTTGGTCGAGTATATCTGTTACTGATTACTGTCAATGTCAAAAGTTCCATTTCAGGTATTCATTAGTGATTTATGAATATTTTTAGAAAATTATATTAAATATTTCGACGCAGCTCCGGCAGCTAAAATTGCATGGGGGCGCTTGAGATAAGCCCTCTTGACCGCGACTCAAATTCAGGCGACTTGATTCTAAACCCAACCCAAAACCTCTGTCCTGGGAAGAACCAGCAAGAAACCCAGCGGGACTTTTTTTAAAGTACAGCTTACAATCATGTACGTTACACAAATTAACAACACAACAAATTAGAAATAGCTTGGTAGCGATCACGTCCTTTCCAGGGGTCATTATCATCCATAAATTTTTTAGTATTATAATAACCCTTTTTATACAAACTTTTTTTTCAAACAAAGAAATAAATGAAATTATAAATTTTCAAATCCCCTGAAACAAAAAGAGCTGATGATCTTTTGAACAGATTTTCTTCAAACATAGCTATGAACACTCCGGATTAAGGCACAGTTTAAAACAAAAAAAAATGCGTGAGTGTCGTGGAACACTCGGTTGGAAAGAAGTTCCTTGCGTAGTATATTATTATTGATAAACGTAGGTATTATATTATTGATTAACAAATACAAATAAATGAATTACTAGCGTCGATTATAATGATGCGTCATTTGAAATGAAATAATATTTCTTTCATGGCAAAATAAGAAAAAGTGCGAGGGAGATGGATATTATTCCATCTCACTTCCTTATTTCGCCGCCAAGACCGTCTACACTATGACACAAGGGGTAGTGACGAGAAAAGCTTACACTAATTGTCGCCACAGAGTACTTTTATATATACATTGTCGCCTAACTCCCATCCGCCAAACACGTATCGTCCGATAAGGAAATTCGTTCCAATAATCAGAATCGTTTTATCCGTTCAGGAACTATGATGCCACAGATATACACACAGATACACAGATACGTATATACACAGATACACACTACAAACATATAATAAGTCTCTGTTTTCATCGGAATTTGAAAATACGACACTAATCGAAAAAAAAAATAATTTTTTCCAGTTCTCGATTCACGTTTGCCGGAAATTAAGAAAGATAGGTAATATTCATTAAGATTTCATTTTATAGATAAGTATATTTACTTTCACTAAAATAATTATTTTATTGAAATGCATGACAGTAAACGTTTTTCTAAGTCCGGCTCCAGACGCTTGAGTAAAATTTGAACAAACATTTTTCAAAATATTTGAATACATTTTGTGTGTGCAAACGGGAACGCAAATGCAACTGTCACACTTTCAAACGTTTGCACTTATGTACATTTAGCGTAAAGATGGCTCACAGAGTGGACGACTATTTTGTGGACGCCTAATCTCTCTTCTATTTGCACTTTACTTAATCGGCCCTTAAAACCCCAATACTGGACTTAGTTCTTGGACTGGCCATTTTATTCACACACACTCATTTTTTTATTACATTCACTAATCTCTCATTCACCCACACATATTGGTCGTCTTCCAACTTCCGATTAACCCTACCTCTTCAGTCTATGATCAATCACCGCGTCTATAACACGCCTGTGCCGCCTGGGTTCCGCAGAAATCCTTAAAAGGATTTCAACCAAATTAGGATGTTCTTCCTAATTCCGCATCAATAATTCGTCGCGCGGAAATAATTAAACGCAAAAGGAGGCAGTGATTGCAGTGATAGGAACTGATAATCGTGTGACACGTGCTCGCAATTAATGGACGTATTTGCGGTGAATTGTGGTATCAGTGAACCAGATGCCTGACTACAGTAAGTCCTTTCTTTATCCCACAGTTCGCCCAGTTAAAATTGAATCATTTATATTCAATATAAATTACAATAATACTTATTGAAAGCCAGTTAAGCTTTACCAATGGTTCAGAAAAAACCTCTGTCCTGGGAAGAACCAGCAATATACCCAGCGGGACTTTTAGAAATATAATCTTTATATATAAAAATTACGTGTCACGTTGTTCGTCCGCGATGAACTCCTAAACTACTGAACTAATTTCATTGAAATTTCGCACATTGTGTGCAGTTTGGTCCAACTTGAGAGATAGGATACTTTTGTCCCGATAAGTGACCTTCAATATTTTTATTGCGAATTTAAGGAGTATTTTATATAATTAAGATCTAGTTCCTCCAAAGTAACATAGCTAGACCGGGAAAGAACCACGCTCTCACAGAATGCCAGCGTGAAATAGCAACTTAATACTGCTGTGTTTCGTATTAAGAGTGTGGAGACACTTTTTTTTTCTGGAAACAATTCATTCCATTCTAATCCTCAGGAGTGAAAACACATTCTGCATTTTGATTCTTAATCGAGGACACAGATGTAGATGTCTATAAATCACAGTGTAGCGGCGCTGTCGTCGTGCCGTAAGCAAATTACGCACTGAAGCCTCAATCGCGCTAACAAAGTTCTGAAGTTACCGCGCTATATATAGAACAGCTCCGAAATAACACATGGAGCGTTGGTCGTTACCCGGGCTGAAAATCTCTGTGGAAAATCTCTCTTTTTTCTTTCATGGGCTAAAAGCATTCACTTACCATCACGGGGACTATGTGCATTCTATAAAATATGTTTAGATTTTTTTCTTCACTGTATTTCAAAATCCCTGTTGATGGTCCTGCTTGATTAGTACGACAAATTCCACATATTATATAAAGAATAGAATAATATATAATATAGGATAGAAATAATTATAATATAGAATAAAATATTGAATCCGCTAACAGAATCATTACTCTATTGTTGACGGTCTCAACCACAGAGTACTTTAGTATAATGAACCTCGAACCGGAACAGTTTTCCGGTCAACGGCACTCCAA